CAGGATTGGGGAAACATGCCCCCCACCCAAGGCAGAGCCCAAGAGAGGGCACACAGAGCCGCCCATGTCAGAGCCCAAGAGAGAGCACACACAACCGACACCCCCTTCCCTCTTCACGGCGCGAGGCACTGAAGCTCAAGGCCCCTTCCTTCCCACACCTTATGTAATGGAATCTTCTCAAGCAAACAGTCCAGAGGCCAACCAGGTGCTGCCTTCCCTGCACCTATTCTAGAAGCAGCAGGACTGGCCATAAATAGCCACTGCAAGTGCATGTGGCCTGTCAGGTGAGGCCCCTGCCCTGGGATCTGCCCGACCAGCCCGTCCCTGGGGCGGGGGTGGGGGGGATTCCCGCAGGCTGGGTGACTCACAGATGGCACTGTATGGCTCGTAGGGGATATACCCTTTGTGCCCCTCAGGACTTGACATACAGTGAGCACAGGAGCTCTCACCCCGGGAAGGGGCCCATCTCAGGACAGACTCAGAGGAGGCAGGCATGTCCAGGCCTCCTTGGCTGGAGCCTCCAACTCAGAAAACCCACATCCACACCAGGCAGCCAGATACTCAGCCACCTGCTTCAAACCCCAGATCCCTTTTTTAAAACAAGTTAAATAACATGAAATTGCCAGTCTTTTGTAGGTCAAACACCAGTGACTTAACATTGTTCAACCTATCCCAAGGCTGGGTCGGCTGCCACGCAGGAGAGGCTAACTCCCACACCTTAGGCAAGCCACTCGTGGTCCCTGGGCCTCATCATCCTCTTCTGTAAGGTGATGGTTAAACAGTGCCCACCTCCTGTAATTGTTAGAGAGAGTCCATCCATTACCTGTGCAGCCAGTGCTCGGCTGATTGTTGTTAGTAGTAATAGTAACTGAAGATAGGGTTTGGGGACAAGAGCGGGCAGAAGGAATCACTAGCAACCTGGTAGGCATGCTTTACAGAGTGAGGATTGACAGGTGTGTAAAAACTTACTGAATACACACCTTACACTCTGGGAATGACAAAACACTGTTGGGAAGAGTAAAATGGACCCAAATAAATAGACATCGCATTCCCCATGTTCATGCCCAAATCCAAACAAACAAAATACTGAGGAATAAATTTAACCAAAGAAGTACAAGTATGTTGAAAATTCAAAACATTGCTGAAAGAAATTAAAGAAGACTTAAGTAAATGGGTAGACATCTCATATCCACGGATTGGAAGATTTAACATTGTTAAAAAGGTTGTACCCCTCCCCCAAAGCAATCTATAGATTCAACACAACCTCTGTCACAAGCCCAACAGCAATTTTTGCAGAAATGGAGACACTTATCATAAAAAGTTCATAGGAATTCCAAGGAAACCCACTGCCAAGACAATCGTGAAAAAGAACAAAGTTGGAAAACTTGCACTTCCCTATTTTAAACTTAGTACAAAGTTACAGTAATAAAAATAGTGTGGCCCTGGTATAAAGATAGACATTTAGATCACGGGAATAGAAATGCAGGTCCAGAAAGAAGCCCTTAGATTTATGGTCAGGTGATTTTTACAAGAACAGCAAGACCGGTCTTTTCAACAAATGCTGCTGGGACAACTGAAAATCCACATGCCAAAGAGTTCTTACGTCACACTATTTACAAAAAGTAACTCAAAATGAATTTAAAAACCTAAATAAAGAATTCAAACCATAAAACTAGTGGAAGACAACATGGGGGTGAATCTGCATGACCTTTGATTTGTCGGTGGTTTCTTAGGTATGACACCCAAAGCACAAGCAACAATAGCAAAACAAAAAACAAAAAACTGGTGTTCATCAATATTGAAAACTTTGGTGCATCCAGAAAGTGGAAAGACGTCCACAGTATGGGAGAAAATACTTGCAGGTCATATCTAACAAGGGTTCAGTATCCAGAGGAGATAAAGAACTTTTAGAGTTCAACAACAAAAGACAAACAACTCAATTTAAAAGTGGGCAAAGGACCTGAATAGACTTTTCTTCAAAGAAGATTTACAAATGGCCAATAAGTACATGAAAACCACTCACTGTCATTTCTCACCAGGGAAATGTAAATCAAAGCCACAGTCAGATACCCCCCCGCACCTCCAGGATGCCTGTGATCCGGACAACAAATGACAGCCCATGCGAGCAAGCCTGACGCACTGGGGGCCTCACACACTGCCAACTGGGCAACAGTCTCACAGCTTCTCAACAGTTTAAGCACAGACCTACCGTGTGACCCAGTAATTCTCTTCCTAGGTATACACCCAAAAGGAATGAAAACAAGTGTCCACACAAAAACCTGTGCGTGAGCATCACAGCCACATTAACCACAACCACCAACACAAATGTCCGTCATCTGAGGAATGGATAACAAAATGTGGCCCATCCACACAATGGCATTTCATGTGACAATGAAAAATGAAATACTGACACATGATACAATATGGAGGAACCTTGAAAACATGCCAAGTGGAGGAAGCCAGTCACGAAGGACCACATACTACACGGTTCCATCTGAATGAAATACCCAGAACAGGCAAACTGGGAGAAACAAGCAGATCAGTGGCTGCTGGGCCGGGGTGTGGAAGGTCTGGTGTGGGGTGAGGCTAAGGATGCAGGCTTCCTCTCTGTGAAGATGGTTGCCCCACACCGTGGAGATACCAAAAGCCACTCAACTGTGTGCACTTTATACAGGTGAGCTGTATGGTATGTGAACTGTGCCAAATAAACTTTCCAAAAAAAAAAGTCGGAACAAGAAATAGCAATTATTTTTATTGTTTAAAATATTGTCTAAAGCTCATAAATCAAGAAAAAGAAATACACAATATCATCTACATTATGGAGATGAATACCATAAGAATAAACACAAATAACAAAAACATGACCAAAGAGATTGGCTCGGAGACCTGGAGCCAGGCTTCATTGCGAGGTAGAAGCCTTTCATGCCCGCTGCACCATACCTGGGAACACCAGCCGCAGGTCCCATAGTGCAGCTGGCATCTCCCTGCTGGCTGGCACCCAGTCCAGTCACCTTTCCTAAGCTGCAAACCCTCCCGCCAGCATGGAGGGGCCTCTGGCTGGTGGGCAGCAAACTCCTCCCAGCAGACATCTGTTGTGTCAGTCCTGGAGGCTGCGGGTCCAAGATCAAGGTGCCGTCTGCAGAGCTGCATCCTCCGAGGCCCCTCCCTGGCATGTAGCTGGCTGGCTGCTCCCTGTCCTCACGCGCCTTTTCCTGTGTGGGCACATACCTGGTGTCTTTTGCATGTCTTACAAGGATGTCAGATGGGCTCTGGTCTGCTCTGAGCTGAATGTTGTGGTCCCTGACCCTGACCCCCCACACACACACGGGTTGTTGAAGCCCTGACCCCCGTGTGATGGTGTCAGGAGGTGGGCCTTTGGGAGGTGATGAGGTCATGAGGATGGAGCCCTTGCGATGAGATTAGTGTTCCTGTAAGAAGAGCTAGCAGGGAGCCCCCCACCCTACTGTGTCTGTAAGCCAGGAAGCAGGCCCTCACCAGCCAGCACCTTGATCTTGGGCGTTCAGCCTCCAGAACTATGAGAAATGAATGTCTTTTGTTTAAGCCAGGGCCCTGCTCTTGTTAAAGAAGAAATAGCTGACAATTTTCAAACGGTAAGGAAGCCTTCAGAGATGGGACTGAACTTTGAACACCACAGGACAGCTGGACTTACAGCCAAGGGGCAGGGCGGGCCAGCGAGGGAGGGGTACCCAACAGCAAGGCCAGGCTGAGTCACGCTAAACTGACCCCACAGGCTTCTGCTGCAGGTGGGCCAAGGGCTCGCACATCAAAGGTGGGGGCCAAAGGTGGGGGCTGGGGCCGGGGCAGTTGGTCAGATTCGGAGAGTAATTAGATAGGGCAAGGTGGGGAGGGGTGGGGGTGCTGGTGAGGAAGAAGGTGCAGAGGCGCCTGAGCACAGCCGGGCACAGACACAGCCTTAGTCACGCTAAGGGCCTCATTTTCCCCTCAGTCACCTCTGTAAACACTTTATCTCCAAACACATTCTCAGGTATGGGGGTTGGGACTTACATATGAATTTGGGCAGGACACAGTTCAGCCCATAACAAGGACCCATGGAGAAAGGTCCCATCCCCAGAGATGCTCAAAGAACAGTGGGAAATAAAAAAGACACAGGGTCTGGCTTGATATCCATGGCCTTGTTAGTGTCAGTGATGGTGGTAAAATAATCCATTAATAAGGCAAGAATACACGAATCCACTTGATAGAAAGTAATAGTTCCCCTGTGGCCAGAGGAGTGGGGGCTGCTGGCAGGCATAGGGCTTTCTCTGCAGTGACACAAACATTCAAGTTGAATTGTGGTGGCTGCACAACTCTGGGAATACTAAATATTAGTGTTTATAGACTGAAAACTGAAAGCCATTGGATTGCGCTGTCTCAATGATAGAATAAATATATATATTTAAAAAGGATCTATGAATCCACACTAGCATAAATAAATGAACAGATAAATAAGTGGGGAAGAAGAATGCCAAATAATAAATGTAGCAGTGATGAAATTAGAAAAATCACCACTGGGTGACCATTTTTATTGAACTTCATTCAGACACAAACCACTCATGGAAGCTAAAACCAGAGTGTTGGCTGAGAAATGGCAACGTATTTTCCATAGTTTCAAAGTATCTCCCCAAAGAATACTTATTACTTACAAAGAGTAAAGATAGTAACTTTACAGTGGAGAAACCCAGTGGTTTAAGTTGACGTTGCAGGAGACAGGATTCACCGACCACATGTGTCCTGACAGTGGACACCAATTTGGAGTCACTACGTTGGTCTCCCAACAAAGGGCATCCCTAGGGTCCAATCACAAGGAAACAGGCCAGGGGATGTTATATAAAACATCTGGCCTGTACACTTCAAAAACATCTGTGCCTTAATACAAAGAATGACTATGGAGATAGAGCTGCTGAACTCGGCATGTGGCAGTGATTCACTGTGGAGGGCGCTCCACATACTTGTTATCAATGTTAACTTTTGTTTTTAAAAAAAGACCTTTTTGGAAACAGTTTTAGCTTAACTTCTTGATTCTGGCAGTTGTATTGTGGTTATGGAAAACAATCCTCTCTTTTCAGGAAATTCACATGAAGATAGTTAGAATAAAGGGACATCATGTCTGCAACTTCCCAGCCATTCAGGAAAACCAGATAGGGAGAGGATAAGGAGGTGACAGTTACTTAGATTCAAATCATGGGGACAGAGACAGGTGGAGTGTAAAGGGAATGTAGTAACAACTGGAAAATCTGGGCGAAAGGCCTCTGGGAACTCTTTGTACTATCCTTGCACTTTCTGAGTCTGAAGTGTGTCCTGACACTTGCCAGCGTGCACGGCAAGGGACCCAATTGGCAGCCCTGCCCTTGACTTGTCAGTCCCTGGAGGCCACAAGGACCTGCGGGCCAGCCAGGGAGCCTCGGGAGGTGGGCTCCGTGGAGTCAGAGCACACTTGGGCTGGCATAACAAATTTCTGCAAACTTGGATAGATTGAACCAGCACAAATGTACTGTCTCTCATTTCCATAGGCTAGCAGCCCAAATCAAGGTGTGGGCAGGGCCCTGCTCCCTCTGAAGGCGCCAGTGGGGGTCCTTCCTGTCCCCCACCTTGTGGCTGCCAGTGGCCCTCACCTTGTGCCAGCACGACTGGGATCTCAGCCTGTGTTCACACCCATGGCCTTCTCTCTGCAGCTGTCCAAATTTCCCTCTTATAAAAGGACACCAGTCCTGTCGGGTGTAGCAGCCCCCTTCCTTTAGCCAATGTGGCCTCATCTGAGGTCATTTATACCCTCAAAGACCCCAGTTCCAAATAAGGTCACCTCCACAGAGTACAGGGGTTTAAAAGTTTCACCTTTGCAGATCTATGTATCTGGGATTCTTATACTACTCTTGCCTCTTTGGGGGCAGTTTGTAATTGTGCCAAGATACCGTAATTCCGAGCATAATCAAACCTCCCCAGCTGGAAACCCTCCAAGGGCCCGTGTCATCAGAGCTGACGTCCAGATGCAGGCCTCTGCTCCAGGGTCCCCGAGGCCACCCCGCCCAGCCTCTCCAGCCACACGGACCTTCCCAACTCCTCTGACACCCTGAGCTGGTCCGGCCCCCATCACTGGCAACTGGCTGTGCACAGAAGGAAACAAAAAACGTGGCTCCTCGGGTCTCCACTCACGTGTCACCGTCAGAAACACGACCCGACCACTGACCTCACAGCGGCGCCCATGCCGGTCTCCCCACACTACCGGCTTTGTCCATCTTCAGATGAGTCCTCGGGGGCTCAGGTCTTATGTGGAACGACAGAAGCACCGCAGGGGCTTCCCTCCGACAGTGGCAGGGTGGCCAAGTTCGTGGGCGCGCAGCCCCAGCCCAGCGAGCACGGCAAGGGACCCAACTGGCGGCCCCGCCCTTGACTTGTCAGTCCCCGGAGGCCGCGAGGACCTGCGGGCCAGCCTGGGAGCCTCGGGAGGTGGGTTCCATGGGGTCAGAGCGCAAGGGTGGGTGCCCGGCTCCTTCCCGGCGCCAGCCTGGAGTGCGCGGCTGGCAGGGCGGCTTTGGAGCCTTCCCTGCCCCCCGGGAGCGCTCGCCCGGCTAGCCGGATTTGTGGACAGTGGGGGCGGGAAACGCACGCAGGTAACCCCGCCGCCGGCGCCCGGCGCCCACCGAGTGCGCGCCGGCCCCGCCCGCGGCTTCGGCTCCGGGGGTCCCGCGACCTGAGGGAAGCGAGCCCGGTGCCCGGAGGCCGTGCGACCAGGGCGGCGTGAGGACCCGGCAAGCAGGTCATGCACGGTTGTCCTCTCTCCAGGCAGCACGTTTCAAACTGACAATATTCATTTCGCTCTCGAAGAGCAGGCAGTCAACCAAGGAAAGCAGAATCGGAACGCGCAGTACAGAGCGATCACGGGCCCCGGATTCCGCGAGCCGGGGGGGTCCCGAGGCGGGCCGGGGCGGAGGACCTGGACGGGGGCAGGTTGCGTCAAAGGGCGGTGGCTGGTGGGGGCCTGGGTGGGTGGGGGCGGGAGCTCGGGATGGGCAGCGCGAGACGGGGCAGCGCGGGAGTGGGCAGCTCCGGGAAGGGGCAGGGTCCCCAGGCGGGAGGGGTGAGGGCGGAGCCCCGGGCGCGCGGGGCAGGATGGGTGGGGGTGGACCTGGGGGTGGGGGCAGGGGCGGATCCCGGGGAGGCGGGGCGGGGGCGGGGCGCGGCGGACCCGCGCTGCGCACTCGGGAATGGCTGGTGCCCGCCCTTCGCACCCACCTTGCGTCCAATCGCCTGCGCCCGCCGAGGGCCGCCCGTCCCGCCACCAGCCGGCAGGGCTGGGCCTCCGCGTAGCAGCTGCTTGGGCTGCAGCTCCCCGGGTCTGAACGCGCCCAGCCCGCCCCTCGTTCCCGCATCTCCGTGCAGGTGAGCGCCCGCCGGGCCAAGACGCGACCCAGTCCTGGGCCGAGGGCCCGGGCGAGGGCCGGGCGGGGGTCCCGGGTCGCCCCCACCCTCTGCCGGAGTTGCATCATCCGCACCTGCACGCGGCAGAGCAGGCTCGCGCCCTGCGCTCCCCGCGGACCCCCAACCCGGGACCTTCCCGCTCCCAGAGTCCAGACAGTCCTGAAACCCGTGGTTCACGTGCACGTGGCCCCGGGCCCCTACCACCCAAGTCCCTAACGAGCACACCTGGGTGGCGGTGGGGGATTTCAAGCCCGAGAACGTCAAACTGGAACTAAGGAGGGGTTTGGGGGCGATGCGCTATAATGGTGTTGATTATTGAGTTTTTGCTGCATTTTAAATGGGAAATGGCTGTTTCGAAATTTGCTCTTTCTGCCAATTGTATGGAGTGGGGGTAGCAGTTGGTGTAGTTGCACAGGTGGCACTCGAGGTGGTGCCTCTGGGGAAGGGCGCTGGGCACGCGGGGCCCAGCCTCGGGCACATACTGGAGATGGGTGGAGGTTGCCCTGCGACCTCCACGCCCCTGAACCGTAGGCGAGGCGGATGGCTGACCTGGGGAATAAGATAGGGACCTGGGGGAGGGGCAGCGCCGCAAAACTTTCAGCCGTCGAAGGATTACCTGGAGGTGTTGGTCCTAAAGTGCCGAAGTGCCTCTCGTAAAGGCCGGCCGAGCGGGCGGTCTCCAGGTCCCCTTCAGGGTCTTAAACTCGCACCCGAAAGCTCCCACTTTGAAAGGAGAGTTTACTACCGTTTGCACCCTCGGCCCTACGAACGGCCCGTCCCGGCCACCGGTGCGCGCGTGCACGATGCCCGCGGGGGCGTCGTGAGCCCAGGCGTGTCTTGCGGTTTAAGGTGGGCAGGAGCCAGCCGGCCGGCTCCCCTGAGCCCGCCTCCCCAGGCCGCAGGTGCGTCGGCCCGGGGAGAAAGAGCAATGGCCGCGGGAAGCGGAGCCGGGCCTTCGGGTTCGGCCCCAGGTGCCAAGCGAGCATCCTGCCAGGTGCCTTTGGGTCTGCAGAGACTCGGTGGGTTTCCATCTGTGTCCCAACGACCGCCTTACTAGGCCTGGGGTTGCCCCAGGAGAGGCGAGTTCACCGAAAAGGAGGCGCGGGCTGCCGGGTCCGGGTCCACGCGGGTTCTGGCCGGGCCGCGGTTGTCCGTCTCTCGTTGGGAGGGAGACCCGGGCCAGGGGCTTCTGCGAGATGCAGACGTCACCTCCCGGAAGGCAGCCCGGGCGCACCGCGGGGGGAAGGCGCTTTCCGATTGCGCGGGGGCTTATTAAGGGTCGGAAGAAAGACGCGGGACATTCTTGGGTGGCTTCGGGGAACCTGAACCCTGGGAAAAGAAGTCGGTGATCCCAAGACTTGAAAGAACCACGACTCTAGGGACGTCTGGGCCCAACGGTGGGAGGCTGGTTTCCCCGGAAAGCCCCCAGCTGCGCGGGCCGGTGGATTCCGACGGGGCGCGACCCACAGGGGCGGAGAGGGAGCGGGCCTGGGTCCCTGTGGCCATCTGCCGGGCGCTGGGAGGAAAGGCACCCTCGGGGGCGGCCTCTGGGGCCTGGGCGCGCCCGCTCCCGTGGAAAAAGAACGGCCCCCCACCCTCGGAGCCCAGAACCCTTTGCACCTTCACCCCACTTCCGCCTGGACCCCCGACCTTTTCACAGCAACACGGCCTCAGAGGTGTCCTAAGGGCAGAGGAGGTGCACGGAGGAGGCTGGGGTCCCAGGAGGAGATCACCCTGGGCCACATCCCCTACCACGAGTTCCTCGCGGTGACCTTCCAACCCACTGTGTTCCCAAGACTTTTTTAGAGCAGTTTTAGGTTAATGGAAAAACTGAGAAGACAGTACGGACAAGTCCCATGCTTTGCATCCCCGTTAAGGACGTCTCTTGTCAGTAGGAGCATTTGTTACACTTCATGGCCCTCATGGAATCACTGGTGACTGAAGCCCATGCCCACTCAGACCTCCTCGGTGTCCCCAGCATCCTCCTTCTGTTCTGGGGTACCATCAGGAGCCCCTCATTTTCTTGGTCCTGGCTCCTTATGGTCGGAGCTGTGTGAATTTTCAGGCCTCCGTCTGGTGGTGATGATGGTTGTGTACAACGATGGACTTCCTGGCCCCCATGGAAAATCAAAGGAAGAGGAGAGGGGGCTGAGTTCAGCCCTGGTCTTTCTGAGGATGCGGGTGTGCGGGTCGGCTGTCTCATGAATGAGCAGCCGAGCCAGGTAGGGCTGCCCCAGAGCCTCGCCTTTGGCACACTGATGCCAGTCTTCCTTCTTTCCTTTTTTTTTTGGTCTCATATATTTTAAGGTTTCATGTGATTTTTTAAAATTGTGGTAAAATATGCATGACATACTACTCATCGTTTTAACCACTTACAGGTACGACACAGTAGTGTTACGCACATCCGGGTGTGCAACCATCGCCATCACCTCTGCCCCACACTTTCTCATCCTCACTAACAAAACTCAGCAGCCATTCAACAGTGACTTCCAGCCCCTGGAAACCTCTGTTCTACTTAATGTCGCTATGAATTTGCCTATTGTAGGTCCCTCATCTAGATGAAATCATACAGTATTTGTCCTTCTTTGGACAAATTTCATAAGCAAAACACTTTTTGAGGTTGTTCCATATTGTAGCATCTATCAAAATACCATTACTTTTTTTTATGGTAAATATATGTCTGTTATTATTTCCATTCCATTATTATTTTCATCGAATTAAAATGTAATCTTTTTAAAAACAACTTTTTTGAGCTATTTGCCATAAAAAATTGTATATATTTAAGGTGTATGACTTGGTGTTTTGATATATGTAGACACTGTGAAAAGATCACTACAGTCAAGCTAAATAAGGTGTCATCTCTGCAGTTACCTTCGTGGGGGTTGAGCATGCACTCACACAGGCCCACATGTGAGAAGATGTGCAAACTTCCTTTTTCAAGGCTGAATAGCATTCCACCATGTGGGTGTACCACATTGTGTTTATCCGTTCATCAGCTGATGAGCCCTTGGTTTGTTCCCTCATTTTGGCTGTTGTGAGTAATGCTGCTGTGAATGGTGTGCAAATATGTGTTTTCCATTTTTTTTGGATGTGTACTTAGGAGAGGAATTGCTGGGTCACATGGTAGTTCTATGTTTAACCTTTGGAGAAAGTGCCAAACTGCCCACAGCAGCTGCTGCCTACATTTTCTGCCTGTTCTTGCTGAGCTAGTTGGGTGCGTGGAACCTCACACCCAGGAGGGTGGGTGAGCGGAACTCCTGAGTCCAGTGGCATCAAAGGCTGCTCTGCAGGCTTGCAAACAGCCTAAACCAACGAAACCTCTCCCCTCTCCCTTTGCAGATCCCAGCATGCCTTCCGAGACACCACAAGCAGAAAAGGGGCCTGCAGGGTGCCCCCACTTCCCAGGGGCACACTCAGGGAATGGAAGCATGGAGAAGGAGCCCCCCAGGGACAAGGAAGCCAACGATCGCCTATGGATCCGACCTGATGCCCCAAGCAGGTGCTCCTGGCAGCTGGGCAGGCCTGTCACTGACTCGCCACATTACCACACTACCTTGTAAGTCTGCGTTTATGATCACAAGATGGTCTGTGCATTACCTGGAAGGACGAGTTTGTTACCTGGAAGCCACATAATCAGTGGCCCTGGAGTATGAGCCCCTCTCCTTCTAATCACTCTGGCCAGGTGGTGAGCTGGGTGGGGGGTTTATAGATGGGCTAGCCAAGGCTGGTTCGTGCTGTGGCCCAGCCACTGGGCCAGTGCCCAACAAGTAGATGCTGAATAAATAATGGATCTGCCCAAGTCACGCCCTCTGAGTGACTGGGAGGGTGCTGTTTCTAACTCAGGTCCCTCTGGCCACACACTTGTGTTGGAGTAAGTATGAATCTATCCAATAATTAGCATCAAGCCTGTACTTTTCTACCTCACTCTATGTCATGAATGCTTCTGGTCATGAAATATTTTTCCATAGTGGACTCTTGCTGTGGTTGGGAAGAGACCATTCGATTAAATAGATTATAATTTTTAGGCCTGCTATTGGATATTGAGATGTTTACAGGGGTCTTGCTGTAAATCACTGCAGTAGAAAGCAGTACACTCATTTGGTCGGTGCATCTTTGCAGAGCACCAACTATACTCGTGCCTTCTTCTAGCTGCAGGAGGTCCGTCTGACACTTAGATGGAGTTCACTAAATCTTAGTATTGTCTTCATTTCCTCTGTGTCCTTGCCCAGGAGTAAAACAAATGAGTCAAAGAATATGCCTTTTAGATGTTTGATTCTTATTCTTTATTCACCGCCCTGCCAATGTTTATGATTATTGATTCTGAAATCAGAGCTGGGCACTGAGGGGGCTGAGGGGGCTGGTGTGCACTCCTCAGTGCGGCTGGTAGAGAGAACTGAAAACTTGTAAGTCAGAAGCTCTGAGCAGGACGTGTATCTTGGTGCTGGGAGCTCAAGAGGCCCAGGTGGCTGCTGGCCAGCTGGGATGAGCGTTTGCTGCCGGAGGAAACCAGAGCAGCTGGTGAAAGGCCTGTGGGAGGTGGGGTGTGGCTGCTGGTGGCGGGAGGGGCAGGAAAGAGACCCGGATGCCCAGGGTGCTGGTAGCCTTGGGCCCTAGGTGGAAGTGTGCTCTACAATCCAGGCCTAAGATAATGGTACCCCTGTACGGCCTCACCTGTGGCCTGATTGACCCTGTTAAGCCCCTAAGTGGGTGCAGTCCCGTTCTGAGACCTGCCCACGCAGCACACGGTTTCAGGGGCAGTGGAGCAAGGTTCCTGGAGGGGGCAGTCCTCGGCACTCCCCGGGGAGCATCCAGGAGGGGAGAGGGCAGGGTTGCCAGGCCAGGTGGCTCCAGGACGGCCGCAGGGCTGGCACCTGGCTGGGCAGATGGGGCCTGTGTTTGGCTGTCTGGGGAAGGAGATTGATTCCACGTGGTTCCCAGGTGAGGGGGGCTTAGGAGGCCCGGAGTGGAAGTGACAGCAGGGGAGAGGTGGGTGGGCCTGGTCCCAGGTAAGGAGTCTGGCTTATTCTCAGACGCTGTGGGGCGGGAGGCCCCCTAGCTGTCGGAGAGAAGACAGCCTGGAGGAGGGGGCTCCAGGCCGTCCCAGTAAACCCTACCCCCAGCTCCTGCCTGGAGCACCTCAGCTTCTCAGGTGACCTTCTGCCCCGAGGCCTGGCGCTGAGTCAGGGACCCCCGTGCTGCCTGGTGGCAGGTGGTCTCCTCAGATCACAGGCCACTCCCAGCCCTGGGTGCCCCCAGGGAGGGCGCAGGTGTTCACCCTCTCCTGCCTTAGCTCAGCCGGAGGACCTGGCCTCCCTCCGCAGTAGGGTTAGGAGCGCTTTACTGCAGGACTTCTCCCTGGGCCTGGTGCCTGGCTTTGCCAAACCTGCCTCCGGCCCGGCCTGCGGTGTCCCCTTTAGCTGCCCACCTCCTCAGAAGGCGGCTGTCGGGGTCCTGCTTTCCTGTTGCTGCCAGCACTCCTTAGCTGCCTCAGGGCCCCCTGAGGAGCCACCCCCCAGTTCCCCTCGTGAGGGGCAGTTCATGGCTTCCCGGGTGGTGACTGGGCCCACGCAGGCTGGAGGACCCTCGATCGGTAAGTCAGAAATCCAAGCGTGCAGAGAACTATTGCACTTGAAACTTGTGGTCAGCGGTTCACGCTCTCAGATGACTATCTGGTGAGCCCTTCCTTGGTGCAGGCGGGAGGGGGTGTGGGATCAGCATCAGCCCGAGTCAAGGACCGAGGGCACATGGGGCACTTCAGGAAATGCCTGCATACCATTTGCACACATGCATTCAGGGGCTGGGCCATCGCACACACCCCTGTCACCTGCCACCAGCTTGTCGGGTGGCAGAACCTCTGGGGAGAGGAAATGGTCACCAGAACGTGCAGGGAGACGGTGTCAGTGTCCGTGATAAGGAGATTCCACTCTGATCATGGAGGTCCACCTGGGAATGCATCCGGACCCCAACTCAAGGGCAGAGGCCACCAGCCAGGATTTGTCCTCCATGTCAGTCCAGGCCTCACACCACCTGTGCCCGACATTTTTTGAGGGATGCTTTGCAGTCTGTCACTGCCCAAGGGGTCTCTGCTCTGGGGTCGGCACCAGTTTTCTCATCAAAGAGAAGAAAAGGAGGTGTCCCAGGGTGGGATGCTGAGAGATGGAGGGAAGGGTCGGTCCCAGGAAAACTTTCTGGGAAGATGGACCAGAACCTGTTGTTTCTAAGTCAGTGTTTAGCTTTTTTATTTGGAAATAACACTTGCAAAAATAATTCAGAGAGGTCCATGTCCTGTCCACCCAGCTGCCCAGTGATTCCATCTTATTTTCAAACCCAGGAATCCACACTGGTGTGGCTGCCTGTTAGCTAAACCCCAGACACAGGCTACTTGCATAGGCTGTTAGGTATCAGTGTCACCTTCTACCCCATGTGCAGGTTTGCGCCATCGCCACTCAGATTTCCCATTAAAGCCACTGCTTTTGATTTATTTAAAACAATGTGCTGGACTGCCAAGCCTAGTACTGTTTTGTTTTGTTTTCTGAGTATTCATGGACTTCTCTATTGTAGGCCAAAAAACCCCAAAATCTTGCCAGATATCCTGAAGAAAATCGGGGATACCCCCATGGTGAGGATCAACAAGATCGGGAAGAAGTTCGGCCTGAAGTGTGAGCTCCGTGAGTACCTGCCCCTCTCCGCCTCCCACTGCGGCTCGGGGGCCCTGGGGTGCAGCACAGACCCTCTTGGGGGCAGAGGCACCAGGAAACAAGCTGGTCAATAAGTGACCGAGACCATGTCAGGCAAGATTGGGAAGAAAATATAATTCTGTGCTGGGGTGGCAGAGCTCAGGTCAGGGAGCAGGGGACTGTGAGCTGCGGCCGGAGAGGGCGTCACCCGGGAGGAGCAGACGGGTGCCAGCAGGGGCTAGGGCGGGGGTTGTCAGCTGGCAGGAGGCAGTTATGTCTGTGCTTGGCTAGCTTTGTGGGGTCAGGCAGTCCGTCCATCCTTCATGAGATGGTGGGCCTCTATAGGCTGGCTGACCTTGTCCTCGACCTACGAGTCTCCTCTGAGCTTGTGGGGAAAGGGCGTCTTCCCAGGAGCACAGAGGGTGTGGGGGTTCCTCACCTTCTCTCTTCTCCAGGGCATGGAGCCCACAGAGAGGGGGCCAGGCACGGGGCTGGGGAGGGGGGTCAGGGTATTGAGCATGGGGTGGGGTAGGGGCTTGAGCGGGTCCTAGGGGCACATGGGAGAGGCTCACCAACGCTGATGACCTGGGGCCTCGCCAGCCTGTCCCCCCCTCTCGGGAGAGACCCCTCTCCCCGGACCTGGGCACTGCTGTGGGTAGGCTGGCTGCACAGGAGCAGCCCCAGGAGGCCCCGACCCCTGCGGGGCCTCTGTGCCCGTCCATCAGGTCACAGCTCCCAGCAGGCATGGGCCTGCTGCATTTGTGTGTGGCAGTAGCCCGAGGCATATTTTAGTGTGTCCATTTTACAGGTGGACAGACTGAGGCTCAGGTTGGTTACGTGGCTTGTTCCAGACCCTCAGCTGCTCAGCTAGGCCCCTGTTTCAGTGCTGGCTTCCCATGGCCAGTTAGAAAGCTAACTAATGGGAGGACCGCAACTGGTCCTGGGGCACAGGCCTGCTGAGCAGTCAGACATTCAGGACCCCCTCCCCACCACACACTCACACGTCCCATCATCCCAGGGCCTCTGCCTGGTTCTAGGGGATGGAGACTGTCTAGTGGTGGTTTTCAGAAATGAGAGCAAAGGAAGAGGGAGGTCATTTGCCAGTGTGACTATAGGCTGGTCTGGGGTCCATCTGGACACATGTGGTGCAGTGTTTCCCCCTTTCACATATTTTTAAGAGACAGGAGGGCATCCTGTAAGGAATGGTGAGCAGAGGCAAGGGCCTGAGCACAGGAGGGCATCGCACCCAGCGGACCGGGTGGGGGATTTCTCCCAGGGGAGACGGGAGCAGGGGAGGGAGGCAGGGCAGGGCAGGTGAGGAGGGAGGTGGGGGGAAAGTCCACGATGGGGAGGCGGGGGGAGGGGTGGGGGGAGGGAGGCCGGGCAGGTGGGGAGGGAGGCAGAGGGTACAGCCGGGAGGGAGGGGTGGGCAGCCGAGGAGGGCTGCCGCTCCCAAGCGGCTGTGGCATGAGCGCGGTCCAGGGGCCATGGCTTCCAGAACCAGTCACCCGGCAGGGCACTCAGTCTGGTTGGGCATCTGCACGTCCAGCCAGCTGCTGTCTATGCGGCACCCGCGGGGACTTTCTCTGGTCTGCCCTCTGGAGGGGCTCTGTGAATCCCTTTTTCCCATTCGCTTGGAGGTGCCCTTGGTTGGCAGGTGGACGGCGCAGTGCAGGAGCTCCGATGGGCACCCCAGTCCAGGTGCAGGGGTGCAAGGTGGGAACGGAGAGGGGTTGCAGAACCAGCAAAGGCCTGCCTGTGCATCCTGGGGCGTTTCGCGTAATGGGGAGGACACAGCAGGGGTCAGGGCCTCTTCCTTTATCGTGATTCATCTCTGGCTCCCAGTGGCCAAGTGTGAGTTCTTCAATGCCGGTGGGAGTGTGAAGGACCGCATCAGCCTGCGGATGGTCGAGGACGCCGAGCGGGCCGGGACCCTGAGACCCGGGGACACCATCATAGAGCCAACGTCAGGGAACACAGGTGGGTTCTGATGGGCCAGGAGTGTTCCCTGGCCTGGGGCGACCCTTGCTGCATGTGCTGGCCTGTCTGGCCAGCCTAGCACTGTTTGCTCAGCACCCAACGCATGTGTGCGGCTACATGCCAGGCCTGCTGTCTTGACACCCTGCAGTCCCAGCCTGCGCTGATGTCCACGTTGTTATGTGAGCAGGTACACCTGCGAGTAAAGCTCTGTGTTAGTGTCCCAGAGCCAAGGTAACAGGTCCCAGAGGCCCTGGAGCCAGCCACAGACCAAACAGCTGAATCCACAGAAAGTACTGCCCAGGTCCGTGACCCAGGGGCCCTCAGGGCTGTTTCCGCCCCCGAGGTGTGTAAACACGTCTTCTCCGTGTCCTTGATCCTTCCTCTGCGTATCTATGTCCTGATCTTCTCTCATAGGGACACCAGGCATTATGGGATTGAGCAGGACACACCCACGTGACCTCATTTTACTTTAACCACCCCAAAGACCCCATCTCCAAGTACAGTCACATTCTGAGGTCCTGGGGGTGAGAACTTCAACTTAGGAGCTGGGAAGGACATGATTCAGCCCATAGCACTCTGTCCCAATACCCCAGATCCACCCCCTCTTGCTCATAAACACACCCACCCATCCCAGCTGCCCCCAGGTCTCCCTCATCCCGGCATCACTCTGGAGTCTTGCCTCCACTTCACCTAAATCAGGTCTGGGTGAGGCTCAGGTGCATTCACGCTGAGGCTGACTCCTCTCCAGCTGTGAGCCTGGGTGCGGAGCCTGGACGGCACAGGACAGACAGGCCCGGCCCAGAGGGAGCGGTGGGGAAGAAGGAAGGGGTCCCGGGGCCCCGCAAGTCAGACATGGCAGGGCAAATTCCATTAGATCTTACGGCTTGAGGATGAGCCTATCTGGCCCAAATCTCTGTCCTCTGGACGTGCGCCTGACTCCTATGGGACTAGGGAGGAGGCACCCGCACCCTGGCCTGTGCCCTCCGGGACCTGCCAGCCTCCTACCGCCTTGGGGTTTCTTGCCCCTTCTTTGGGGGTCACACATGTTCACACGAGCTCCATGTGTTTGCTCTTGTGCCATGGCTGCTGCTCTTTACCCCATGGTTCCCAGGATGCATCGTGGGTGCCCAGCAGAAGCTGGGGGGCTTGGCGTTCACGCTCCACACCCCTGCTTTTCTTCTCTGTGAGCATGCCCACTTGTTATTCCTCCTTGCATCATTTGCAACCTGCCCTGTGTTTAATGGCAGAAGAGGATGGCAGGGGCCTGTGTGCAGTCCTTCAGAGCAGCCGCCCTGCCTGTGGGACTGGCTGCAGGTACTTGGGCAGGGTCTGAGGGTGCCAGGGCCCCCCTAACCCCATGTGCTGTCCCCAGGGATCGGACTGGCCCTGGCCGCCGCCGTGAAGGGCTACCGCTGCATCATTGTGATGCCAGAGAAGATGAGCATGGAGAAGGTAGGCCGGCGGGGCGGGCGCTCTCCTGGGGACCCGGCCCCCGCACGGCAGGCCTGGTGAGTAGATGAAGGCCACTGCGTCCCCCTGCAGGTGGACGTCCTGAGGGCCCTGGGGGCCGAGATCGTGAGGACACCCACCAACGCCAGGTTTGACTCCCCTGAGTCGCACGTGGGGGTGGCGTGGAGGCTGAGGAATGAGATCCCCAATTCTCACATTCTGGACCAGGTGGGCCCCGGGCCCGGGGTGAGAGCACTTGGCTGTGTGACCTAGGCGGGGGGTCTTCTGTCGGAGTGTGGGGTGGGGATGCATCTGCAGCAGGGGTGGGGCTGCAAAGGTGGCTGGCAGACTGGCACCTGGTCTCCTGCTTCTGCAGCCTGTGACTGCAGGATCCACCCAGCCTTGGTCCCTGCTGTCTGTGATAGCTTCAAGGGGCTTGTGCAGCACGCAGGGTTGAGGGCCCCTTGCAGAGGATCCTGCAAGCCATCTGCAGGCATAAAATGCGTAAAAATCTTTTTACTGGGAGCTCTTCTATCATTCATTTCACTTCTGGGATAATTGAGACATCACATCTTCTGGAAAGCTGGGTTTAATGTGTTTTGTCTGTGAGGTTCCTAAACCTGCCCATGCACTGGCCCAGTCTTCCCTGAGCTGCTGGGATCCTCTCTGGTTTACACCAAGCTGTTTGCCTGAAGCTGCTGCCAATTCAGTGTATTTGGTTTCACTCATGGCCTCTTTCCTGTCTTTACTTTTAGTACCGCAATGCCAGCAACCCCCTTGCTCACTATGACACCACGGCTGAGGAGATCCTGCAGCAGTGTGATGGTGTGTCCTTAACCCCCACCCATCTCAACTGCATCCCTGGTTGCCTGAGTGTACAAGTCACTTACTCCTTGATAAACTCCTATTCAGCCTTCAAAACCCAGCTCCAAAGTCCCGTCTCTGGAATGCCTTCTACAGCATTTCCCTAGTGTTTTCCCCTCTCTGTGTGCTCTCTTGGCCTTTGCCTGTGCCTCTCCCTAACACCAAATGCATCGTGCAGTTCTATTTATTTACTCAGAAGTCTGTCCTCCAGACCTGAAGGAGCTTCTAGGGCAGGAATGAGGGTCCAGGCTGATGCTGGGCCCACAGCTGGGCCTTCATGTTGCTGAACTCAGCGTCAGGCCCCAACTTGGGGCACTGACTTCAGCATCAGGTTTTCTCATCTCTAGAACTGGGCTCACGACACCTGCAATTAGCTTGCTCCCTGTACAGGCATGAGGCTCCTTGGAACTGTTCCAAGTGTCTGGTGCCAAGCCCTGAGGGGGTTGTGGCCGTGTTTTCTGATGGGCTGTTTCCCTAAGAAGTTGAGGGAGAAGTTGCAGGTGGTTGGCACCCTTGGCTTCCTGTTTGCAGTCTGGCGTCGGCACTGTCTCGGGCAACCGCGCTTCATGCCCAGGAGTCCAGCAGTGCAGCCCAGGCACTTGCCCAGCCAGGTTTCATGTGTGAGAATTCTCTCATTTAGCAAAAACAGCCCTCTGCCCCGGCACAGTGCCCGCACTGACTTGTCTGCAGGACGCCTGAGCTGGCCACTCAGCAGTGTAAGAACCTGGGTGATTTCTGAGCCAAGCCTGAGTGATTTATTCTATTTCTGTTATAATTCAGTTTACTTATCCATGTCATTCCAAACCAGACTGCATCAGTGGCACGCAGTGGGGAACCTCCCTGGGCCCCAGCTTCCCTCCACTGCTGGGCCCGGCTCCTCAGCCGCCGTGTCCTGGCCCCCCCACCAGCTGCCATACTCTGGCCCCCCATCGCCATGCCCTGACCCCCCCACGAGCTGCCGTACCCTGACCCTCCCAGCCGCCGTGCCCTGGCCCCCCCACCAGCTGCCATGCCCTGACCCTCCCGGCCGCCGTGCCCTGGCCCCCCCACCAACTGCCGTGCCCTGACCCTCCAAGCCACCGTGCCCTGGCCCCCCTAGCCACCAGGCCCCACCCCAATGTGTAGAGCACCTCCAGATGGGCTTTACAGATTCAAGCCAAACATGCATTTCAGGGGCTGCCCGGTGTTTAGCAAAGACTTAACCTCCCTGGGCCCTGTCACTCTGAGTGTGTTGTAAGGGTGAAGGCCTGTGATGGGAATCTGTTGGCATTTGAGAATTGGTTTTCTTTTGTACCTTTCGATAATCTGCCTTCCTTTCGGTGGAGTGTTTTCACTTATCATGAAGTGCGATGGGCCAGCCGGGTTACAGCCCAACCCTGTTCTCCCATCAGGGCAGCTGGACATGCTGGTGGCTTCAGCAGGCACGGGCGGCACCATAACAGGCATTGCCAGGAAGCTGAAGGAGAAATGCCCTGGGTGTAAGGTGAGTGACCCAGGGACTGCCAGGGGTGTGGAGGCATGCCAGAGCCTGCCCTGCCCAAGACAGGTAGGCCTGGGTGTGCGAACGCAGCTGGAGGCATGATCATCAGGCGTCTTGGCGTTGGGCCTCGAGTGCTTAGAGCTGAAACTTCTTCCTGGCATCCACTTAGCCTTGCATCTTACATGGCATGTGTATCTGCTCCTGCCTGGGAGATGTTCGGAAGACGGTGTCTGGTGGATAAAGGAACTCAGTGATCCAAGACCTGGGAGCCCACATGAGCTGGGGGTGGCCTCCAAGGATTGTTCCGGAAGCTCTAAGCTCAGAGGCTCCGGCCCTGCATCTGCTCCACCTGTTTGGTGTTAAGAGTGGACCTGGGGAGGGGCTCCTAGAAATAGCTGTCTGGTGGTGCAGAAAGCATTGCCTGCTCCCTTCATCTCTCTGTCCTCTGGGAAGTAGTCAGTGTCCAGCACTGTCCCCAAGGCTCCGGCTGTCCCATGGGGGTGTCCTGCTCAGGAGTTGCTCCCCTAGGAAGCCACTTGCTGTCCCCTCTGCCCTGAGCTGGACGTTCACCTTGTAACCTCCCTAGCGCCCAGGCGCTGAGTGTCACCCCTGTAGGCAGGGAATGGGGCTCACGCCCCATGGTGAGTCTTCACCGGGGCCTGTCAGGGATGGGAACGGCCACCCCAATAATAGCCAGCCACGTGCAGATGAGACCTGAGGCCTGATACCACCCATTGTGCAGATCATTGGTGTGGATCCCGAAGGCTCCATCCTCGCGGAGCCTGAAGAGCTGAACCAGACAGAGCTGACAGCCTACGAGGTGGAGGGCATCGGCTATGACTTCATCCCCACAGTGCTGGACCGCACGGTAGGTGGGCCGGGGTGCGGCCCCTGCCAGGAGGGATCCCAGTGGCCAGTTCCAGCTCAGGGCATGTCCTTTCATGTCCGACGCCCAGCTGGCCGCAGGGGCCAGGACTGGCTTTCCTACTGAGTGTCGTCAAGATGAGGTGGCTCCCCACGCTGTCTCAGTCAGGCTCGCCTCAGGGCCCTGCGGGCAGCTCCTAACCATCACAGCAGGTACCGCGGGGAGAAAGGCCAGTGAGTGCGCAGGCTCCTCAGCGCCTGCGGTCACGCTCGCACACGCTGCAATCTGCTGAGTGTGCAGCTGCATTATGTGTAGGAAAACGGTGGCATACCATAATCCCAAAATACGGTTAGAATGTGCTAACCACTGATCCCAGGTCAGCATAACAAGTGTAATAGTGATGAGAAAGTTTGAAATATTGTGAGAATTACCAAAATGTGACATAAAGTGAGACAGAGCAGGCAGAATGGTGCCAACAGACTTGCTAGATGCAGGGTTGCCACAGACGTTCAGTTTGTAAAAAGCGCAATAAAACGAGGTGTGCCTGTATGAGCCATAACCCCGTGGGGCAGAGACCGTGGTGGCATGGCTCCAGCTTTGTGCACGAGTCTGGCCCCTGCAGAGGGATGGAGCTGTAGGCGGGGAGAGCAGGTGAGTAGGGCGAACCTGGGAAGAGAAGGGCCCCAGAAATGGCTCTTTCTAAGGCCCAGAAGGGTGCTTTGGCCCCATAGACCTAGAATGGGCCCTGCTGGGAGCAGGGACATACAGCCGATGCGGTATGGGGGTGCTGGCAGGCAGTTTCAGTAGCTCCAAGCAGAGCATGTTGGACCAGGGAAAGTTAGAAAGTTCCAGGTTTGTAGATGGAGAATGAGATCCCAGATGGGGTGTTGGGCCTTGTCTGTTCGCCAAGGTTGTCTGTGGGGCTGCAAACGGGCTGTGGGCCCCTGCCCCGCCACCTCGCTTGCCCAGGCCCCTCCCGGAGCCCGTTGGTCTGGGTCCTGCCTGCAGGTGGTGGACAAGTGGTTCAAGAGCAATGACGAGGAGTCCTTTGCCTTCGCCCGCATGCTGATCGCGCAGGAAGGACTGCTGTGTGGTGAGTGGTGGGCAGGCTGCAGAGGACAGATGGGGGCCCTTGCCCTCTGCCAGCTTCCTGTCCAAATGTGGGAAGGTCCCCCTCACTCCGAGGCCGCGTGACAACAGCAGCATGCTCCTCAGGGCCGTTCTGTCAAGGGTCACGCTCATCCTCCCAGGTGGGCAGGTCTGTCCAGAACGCGGCTAGAGTCTAGGTGTATGTTCCTGGGGTCGCTGGGTCCACGTGCTTTGTTTTCTGTGTTTGACAGCCTCTCTGAGGACAGTGGGTGGCACAGAGGCCCGAGAAGGGAAGGAGCCTGAGGTGCAGGGGCTGGGGACACACAGGCCCCCGACAGTTAGGCAGGAAGCAGTCAGTGGGGCCAGCGTGTGGGCTCTGCCTCCAGCGTGGCCCCACCATGAGGGGTGTCCTGGTTTCATGGTCGTCTGTGCAGCTGTTTTTGGGCAAGGCCAAAGTGCTCAGGACACCTTTATTTTTGCAATCAAGACCAGCATTGATTTCCCCACTGACAGGTGTCCGAGGCTGGGATGGGGTGCCAGGAGCACCAGGAGAGGTTGGAGGGGGTCGTGATGCAGGCCCCCCACTGGAAGGAGATGGGACAAGCTTTGCGCAGCTCTGAGTCCTGTGGGAGGCCCCGAGGCCCAGTGGGATCTCAGGGGATTTATGCCCAGAGGGGTCTCCACTGAATGCCCCTTGAAGTCTTGTATGGGGAGTGTAGTGTCTGGTCACTTGTAATGTGCTTTCCTCTCTACCCTGTCACATGGGGTGGGGACAGAGAACAGGAGGGAAGTCAGCCCTCCACGTGACTGGGTCTGAGCACAAGCCATTTATGATTGGAAGGTTTCTCAGATGTTAAGGAACGCACACCTGTTCTTCGTGATCATGTGATACTCAGTGTCCTCGGACTCCCTGTTGTCCATCCTCAGTGCTGGGAGAAGGCCCTTTTCCTGTGGGGACACCTTGGGGGCCACATTTCACCTGCTCAACAGCCCAGAGGGGCCGCAGGGGCAGAGGCGGAGCACCGCCTCTGAGAACCGGTCCCTCCGGCCCTGACTCAGAGCTGCTGGGCGGGGCAGGCCCAAGCTTGCGGGGCAGGTGTGAGTGGTCAGTGACACGCGCCCAGGGTCAGCACAGCTACACCTGGGGCTCCAGCTCAGGAGTGTTGCCTGGGGCTCAAGCCCCATAGTGGCCCTTTCCCCAGCAGAGCCATCCCCGTGCCTGAGAGGAACCCCATTTGCTGCAGGGCCTTTGCATTTCCTTGGTGAGGTGGAGGGGTCTCTTAGTGGCACAGAGAAGATGGAGGGACAGTGAGAGGGAGGGTCCTCCCGGCCCGAGCCCAGCTCCTCCCGCCAAGCAACCTCAGCTGGTGGCTCCCAGCAGCCTTCCCAAGTACGTGCTGGTGTGCCCGCACGCCCTCGTACCAGCAGGCCTGATGCCTGGCCTCCTGCAGGTGGCAGTGCCGGCAGTGCCTTGTCGGTGGCCGTGAAGGCCGCCCAGGAACTGCAGGAGGGCCAGCGCTGCGTGGTGGTCCTGCCCGACTCTGTGCGGAACTACATGTAAGAAACGCACCCCTCCCGCTGAATTGGCTGGACCATGGTCTGGCCCCCCTCCACACCCAAGCTCCTGCTTCTTCTTGCGGACGCGTGTACAAGTCAGACTCAGAGGCCCCTGGGGTCCAGGGGTACCTAGCGCGTCTGTGCTGGGTCCTGACTCCCAGGACCACAGGCCAGCTCCCCAGAGGCCTGCAGCCTTCTGCTCTGAGTCCCCCGCTCCGCCCCACCTCACTGTCTCCAACTGTGGGCCTGGGCTGCTCTGCTGTAGGCTTTGGGGGTGGGGCAGAAGTGGGCCTCTAGAGCCCCCATCCTACCCTCTGGGCTTTTCTGTGCTGAGAGCTGTGGGGGTGGTGCGTCTCTGGTGAGCTCAGCTGCCCCAAGTTGGGGTTCCAGCTGTCGGGTGAGTCATGTCTGGGTGCCCACTGCCAGGCAGCCCTGAGCCCAGGGTGCCTGCTCCCATGCAGCTGTGAGAGTGCCCACCTCCCCGTGAGCTGGGCAAGCCTGTGCGAGCACACAGGTGTGCAAGCATGGGGGGGGAGCTGAGGGGTGCGGGAATGACGGCGTGGGCTGGCACAGCGGGTCACCTCTGCTCCCCACTTTGCTGCCTTCAACCTGCCTTTTTAGGGCGGGTCTCCAGCAGCCCCCTTGGCCTGGCCTGGTGTCCTTGACCCTGGGTGGGACAGGCTCCCTCTGCCACAGCAGACATAATGGGACGGGCAGGGGCCGCCCACGAACCCCGAGGATGGCGAAGGTCCGGGCAGAGTCCTCCCTGTGCTCTGAGCTCATCCGGCCCAGACATGTGTGCCCCAGATGCCCCGTCTTCCCCAGTTTCCAGTTCGGGTCCCTACTGTCTGGCGCCAGACCCTCTTCCCAGTGCCTCTGGCCAGCCCTGGGGGCCTCTGCTGGGCCTGTGGGGCCCAGGGAGGGGTGCTGGGCCTTCTGAGCCATGTGCCCTCTGTGCGCTTCGAGGCCATAGTGAGACCCACGGCCCGCCCTAGCGACTTCCTGCTGCCGGCAGGTCCAAGTTCCTGAGCGACAAGTGGATGCTGCAGAAGGGCTTCCTGAAGGAGGAGGACCTCACAGGAAGGAAGCCATGGTGAGGCCGCCCCGAGTGGACACTGAGCTGTGCCCCATGCTCCTGGCTGTCCCCCGCATAGCCCTGGTGACGGCGTGCATCCTGCGCCCTGGCTCATGGCCCTGCCTCCCTGTCCTCTCCCTTCAGGTGGTGGCACCTCAGAGTTCAGGAGCTGAGCCTGTCGGCCCCGCTCACAGTGCTGCCCACGGTGACCTGTGAGCACACCATCGAGATCCTCCGGGAGAAGGGCTTCGACCAGGTGCCCGTGGTCGACGAATCAGGGTCAGTGTCAGCCGCCCCACCCAGAGCACTGCCCTTGGCTCTGCCAGGAGCCACCAGCCCGGGTGCTCTGTGTCAGCCATGCTGGATGGCAGCCATGAGGCCCCCCACAGCTGACCAGCTGGCTGGTTCCTTTGCATACAGGTGTTCAGAGATGGACGTTTTTGTCCCTGAGCACCCCTGGGGGGTGCTGGCCATGTTAACTCTTGGGCCCTTAGGCTCCGGCCTGCCCCACTGCACTCAGCAGGAGGGTGGTGGGTGACCGGCCATGCTCTTGGATGTGTCCCCTGCTGGAAGGCCATGGCACATGCCCAGGTCACCAACTAGCCCAGTTCTCCCAGGACTGTCCCAGTTCTAGCACCCAAAGTTCCATGTCCCAGGACACAGCCGGTTGGTCACCCTTGACACCTGCCAGAACAGAGCCACCCAAGGACTTGGTGGTTTGCCGTCCCCATGCACTGGATAGGCAGCTCCAGACAGGGCCTCCTGTTGCTGCTGTGTTCCTGCCGTGTGTGGGCACCAGCAGATGCGAATTCTCAGAGGAATCCCACGTTTGGCCATGGACCACACTGACACGAGGGTGCTGTGGGCATGCTCTGTCTAGGGCAGGGGGAGAGGCACCTACCTGACCCCCTGCTCCATCCCCTGCTTCCCCAGAGTGATCCTGGGCATGGTGACTCTAGGGAACATGCTGTCATCCCTGCTTGCCGGCAAAGTCCAGCCGTCAGACCAAGTCCACAATGTCCTCTACAAGCAGTTCAAACAGGTACGGGCCATTTCGCTAGAGCAGCAGGTGCGAGACCCTGGCGCCCTCCTCAGATGCAGGTGCAGAGCTTCCCCCGGGAGGGTGCCGGGCCCCACCCACACTGCCCCAGCTTCACAGAGAGGCTCCAGAGGGGGCAGGCCCTAGGCGGTGAGGGCCACCCTTGTGCACCCTGTTTGGGCCCTGCCGGGGTCACTGGCAAGCCAGTCATTGCAGCTGAGTTGGGTACCTGCCAGCGTGGCCATTCCCGGGGTGTTGGGCCCTCGCTTTTTCTGTGCGTGGATTCTCTTAATGTCTGGCATGCCTAATTATTTAATTAGCTGGGACCCGTCAGACCCCGTGGTCATTCTGAGCATGACAGCCACTGCCCAAGGGGCCGGGCACGGCCCACTGGACGCTGCTCCCATACTGGTGTCGGGGTTTCTCACACTCTAACGGTCCCTGGGCCTCACCTGGCTCCTTCCTCCTGCGGGTCTCAGCCCAGTCGGGCCCTCCTCAGCTCCCCGAGTCCCAGGCACCAGAGCACCCAGAGCAGACATTGCCCCCGGCACCCATCCCCAGTAAGCTGCAGGGGGCTGCTGGGCCCCATGCCCCTGAGCGGGAGCTCGGTGCCCACAGTCACGGGTGAGCAGGTGGGCCTTTCCACCCATCCTGCCACCCACAGCTCTTCTGGAAATTTCTTTCCCTTCCCTTTATTGAGCCATAGTTGCCCCAAGGGGAACATATTCGGCACATCCCACTTGATTTTGACATGGAAACACACTCAGGAAACCATCACAGTTGAGAGGACGTGTGTCCATCACTTCAAGGGCTTCCTCGTGCCCCTCCGAGGCCCTGCCCCTCCCAGCCCATGCCCGGCCACCACTGCCACACTCTGTCACTGTTTGTGGGCATGCTGACTCACAGGCAGCCACACACTGGGTGCCCTGTCCGGCTCCTGTCACACATTTAACACTCTGAGGCCCATCCCTGGTGCACGGTGTGCATCATCCTTGCCTGACCCTGTTCCGTCCCACCCCGTCAGCTGGTTCTGCGCCGTGTGCACTCCAGCCCCTTGCACTCAGGGCGTCCGTCCTGCTGGGCCCTCGGCTTGTTTTTGTTTCCTAGCTGGCAGAGCTGGTGGCTCGTTCCCTCCCTTAGGCCAAGTCAGACCTCCAGCCACACCCTTGCCCAAGTCCCCAGCCTGACTCGGCTCTTGTGCTGACCAGACCCACAGGCTCTCAACCTGGGGGCTTCAGTGTCCTGCCAGGGAGATGCTGGGTGGGGCTGGCAGGAGCAAAGCATGTTGGGGGCCACTGTGGGCCAGCGCTGCTGGGCAGGTCCCGCACACAAGGAGCCGTTGGGTCAGTGGGCGGTGACGTGTAGACCAAGTAGGGTGACTAGCCCGGGGCTCACCCTCACGCCCCCCTGCCATGGCAGGGCCCAAGGCCCCCGGTGCTCCTGATTGTCCCACCCGGGCTTTCTGTTGCATGTTCCCCAAATTCCCTTTCCCAGCTCCTTGGAAATGCCCTTCTCCCTGAAGCTGCAGGTGAGCCCAGTTGGATTCATCTTTGACAGATGGCCCATAGTGTCTCTCCTAGGGGTATGCAGCATGCACCCACAGGTGCGAGTGGGAGAGCGTACCATCGGTCTTCTGAGCAGACAGGGCAGAGCGAGTCCGTGTTCTCCCCTCTGTAGTTTTCCCTTGGTACCTCCTGCATTGATATTCCCACATTATGATCGACAACCAGTGTTACATTACCCGTAGCTGATGTTCACTGAGGGTCCGTTCTGTGTTCACAGTTCTGTGGGTGGTGACAAGTGTGTCCATGACAGTATCACACAGAGTAATGTGTGTACATGGCCCCAGATGCCCCAGCCCCACCTATTTCTTCATGGTCTTTCCGCTAGTTTTGCCTTTCCCAGAATGTCACAGACCAGGATCCATTCTGTGGAATGCTAACCGGCTTCCACTTAGCAACATGTACAGAATGTGCTGCTGTGTCTTCTGTGGTTGGTGGCTCATCCAAGGGTCTTCTGCACGTACCCTGACACCCTCTGAGTCCTGCCTTCCCTCTCTAAGTCAGCAGAAGGCTACGCATGGGCCTTCTGGAGCAATACCTACCTTGCTGGGTGCCTGAGGCTCCAGCCGGGCTGAGGCCAGGCTGTATGGCCCTGCTGCTGCTGACCCGGCATCTCTTCTAGATCCGCCTGATGGACCCACTGGGCAAGCTCTCGCACATCCTGGAGATGGACCACTTCGCCCTGGTAGTGCATGAGCAGATCCAGTGTAAGTGGGGCCCACGGGGGGCCAGGGCCAGGAGCGGGGACAGGAGCCCTGTGGGGCTCTGGCCACCAAGTCCTAACCCCAGGCTTCTGCACACGCTCTTCTGCCTTGAGCTCCTGCATGGCATGAGGCCCTTATCCCTCACAGTGCTGACCTTCAGCCACCCCAGCCTTGGGCCATGAACCTCAGAGGGCCCCCTCATGGCCCATGGGGTGCCCACTTCCAGTGAGACCATGGAACTGTAATTCCCATTCACAGCGCCATTCCCAGGCCTCCTCGCCGCATCACTGTAGGCCAGGGCTGTCCTGGGGCACCCCCATCTAACCCTCTCCCGTCCTTGGCTCTGCAGCACGGGACCCGGCCTTGTCAGGAGTAGTGGGGGGGCCTGCAGGTATGTACGTCTCGCCCATCACACGCCCCTTGGAAATGACTCTGTGGTCAGAATTGCAGTCTCCGAGGCCAGGGGAAGGTGTCTGGGGTCCCTGACTCCCAAGCTTGGGTGGGAGGCTTCTTCCTTCTGTCTGGTCTCATGCTCACTTGTATTTGAACATCCCCAAAAAGCAGTATGAATACAATTTCAGGGACTGTCAGTAAAGTTCTCTTGGGCACAGCAGTGCTTGGTGCCCTGCCGTGGCTGCTGTCCTGTTGTGCCACTGAGCCGAGTGGTGGCAACAGCCTGTGGGCCTCGGCTCTGGACAAGTGGCTCAGAGGGGGCCGCAGGACCTGGTGTGGGCGGTGCTACAGACGGGGCTCCCCTCCCGGGCCCACGGCACAGACCAGCCCTGGACAGGATTCTCCAGCGCGGCCCCTTGGCCTGAAATTCCCTGAAACATGGTAGCTGATCTCGTCTGGGTTTGCCTTGATTTAGAGGTGCTTTTAAAAGGCTAGCAGGGTGCCAGCTAGCACCATGCCCTCCTCCCACCCTGACCTGTTTGACCTCTGCTTTCAAAGGCAGGAGAAGCAGGTGGCCAGGGAGGTGCTGGGAGATGGGGCTGGTGGGATGGGACATGACCCGCCCCTGCTCAGCTCTGCCTGCGTTGGGACAACTGTGTCAGTCAGGATTCTGCAGAGAAACAACCGATAGGATGTGTGTTTGTGCAGAGAGAAATGTATCATGAGGAATTGGCTCCCGCGACGAGGCCAGCAGGCCCAAGACCAGGGAGAGCCAGGGTTTCGGTCTGGTCCATAGCCAAGAAAAACTCCCTCTCACTCAGCCTTTTTGGTTCTGTTCAGGCCTCCGCCTGGATGAGGCCAACCACGCTAATGGGCCAACGTGCTTCACGGACAACCCTGTCAAATGCTATCTCATTCCAACACCCAGAACAGTGTTTGGCCAAATATCTGGGCACCCTGTGGCCCAGTCATGTTGACACACACAGTTAACATCTCAGCAAGCGTCTGGGCCCTATGGCTGCGTGGCTCGCAGTCCAGGGGCTGGCATTCATTCTAAGCTTGAGAGAAAGTCAAGGGTTTGAAGACAGAATCCTAGGCTGGAGATGTGAACTGATATAGTTTGTGCATGTGAACCATGTTGGAATCACAACAAGACTCAAGCCTTGGGTGCCGAGGAAGCCCCACAGGCAGTTTTGCAGGAGTAAGATCCCTGGGGATCTGGTCCCGCGTGCATGGCTCCTGGAAGCTGAGCCCCTGTTCCCTGCAGCTTCACCCAGGTGGCTTGTGTCAGGAGAGGATGGCATTTGTTTGTCCTCCTTGAGTGCCATCCTGGGCTCCTGCCACACACAGGTGCCTGGAGACACGTGGGCAGGCTCTGGGCAGGGGCTCAGGAACCCTCCTTGTCTGGGCTAGGCCCTGATGGCAGCAGTTTGGGGCTCGGCCTCCAGCAGTGCCTGGGGGTGGGCAAGGCTGCGTCAGATCTGCTCCATCTGGAGGCAACTTTAAACCCACGCTGCCACATTCCCTCCTCAGACCACAGCAGCGCGAAGTCCAGGAACAGGCAGATGGTGTTTGGGGTCGTCACTGCCATCGACTTGCTGAACTTTGTGGCTGCCCGGGAGCGAGACCAGAAGACAAAGTCAGGAAGTGCCTTGGGGGCCAGAGCAGCCGGGGCGGCCCCCCAGCCCTGACTCCCCACACACTGCCGGCTTGGCGCCCCTTCTCTGTTGCTTTCGTAAACAGCAAACACGTATGATCTCTGATCGCCTGGATAGGCATTGCTCTCACAATGGGTGGCGGTAGGTGTAGGACGCTTAGCCCAGCCGGCCGAAAGGTTACTGTTTCCTTTTAGATAAATCCATCTACTTATGGTTTATTAGATGTGATCTCGTTTTCCTTAATTTGACTTTCTCATAAAATGTTTCAACAGGGAAATTTCATTAAAAGGGAACTAAGCCAGGCAGGTGAACCTGTGCAGTGAGTGGGGCAGGGTGGACTAACGGCAGAAGAAAGTGCCTTTTCTAGAGAAGAATCCAGAATTGGGAAGAGCAGAAAAGGGCTGAGGAAGGATTTAGGGGTCTCCTGGCCATGCTGTTCACATGTGGCTGTTGGTTAGAGTGGCTTGAGTTTTTTAATTGAGGTGAAATTCAGATAACCTAAAATGAACAATTTAAAATGTGCAACCCAGTAGTTTTTCTTATATTCCCGATATTGTGCAACTGCCACCTTTATCAAGTCCCAAAATATTTCTTCACCCATTAGCAGCCTCTCCGCTCTCCCCTTCCCTCCTCTCCTGGCAACCACTAATCTGCTTTCTGTCTCCATGAATTTACCTGTTTTGGACATTTCATATAAATGCAGTCATACAATTTGTGGCCTTTGTGTCTGCCTATTTCACTCAGCATGTTTCTGATGTTCGTCCACATTGCAGCATGTATTAATTAGGACTTCATTTCTTTTTAGGGCTGAGTAATATTCCATTGTGTAGGTGAACTACATTTTGTTCATCCATTCATCCACTGATGGATATTTGGGTCGTTTCCACTTTTTAGC